CTCTATCAGCCCACAAACATTAAAATCTCAGCTGAACGTTGATCTGCTCAGGTTTTCCTGGGCATGCACTGGGAGCCCTGCGCAGGGAACACATGTGAGTTACCTGCTGCGAAGCTGCCTGAAGTGGTTTTTTGGTAAGAGTAAATGCAATCTGTCTGCAGAAAAAAAACTTTAAGGATGGTTTTGGATATACAATGGAACAGCCATGAGCTGGAAGTAGGTTTTTAAAATCATTATAGGTAGACGGAATGTCATGGATGCTTTAAAAGTCTTCAGATAGGCGTAAAAATGACATATACATTACCCATTATCTCCTCAGAACAAACACCATTTGAAATGTGCCCCTTTTTAACTACCATTATGATCTGTCTAAAGAGCATTTTGGTTGAAACTTGGGAGGAAAGGAGAAGAAAAAAAAAAAAAGCCCACTGATCTTACACCTGCTCTTTAGCAGTGGGAAGTAGGTTCTCAATCTGTTAACATGACCATCTGGCCAATCTGCATATCACGGCTATCTGGATTACCGTACGATGGAATGACAATAACGTAGCCAAAACAAAAGTAAAACGCATCAAAAACTAACAGGAGCGCAAGCCCTTTTGATTTCAAATTAAATAATAAATGTGGTATCAGAGCAGAGCGAGAAAGTCAGCTAAATAATTAAAAATGAGCCTTCGCTCCGGCATAATTAAGTAAACAATATGGTGTGTGTTTCTGTATGAGCCAGCAATAGTTTCCACCGTCGAGCGCTCCACTTTTGCAGAGCAGCGATCAGGAGTTCAAGGCGCTGCGACAGCTCTTTCGGTGACGTACGGTATTGTCAGGACACCTCTGCCACCCCTGTGACACCCGGCCCGGCTGCGGCTATTAACAGGATTAATGCAGCAACAATCAATACCAATTGTGCTAAAAGATTACGGCGCAAAGCCTCGGGTACCTCTCGGACCCCCCGAAACCTCCACGGGTACGCGGGCTTCCGCATTAACCCATCTTTGGGTTATTCCCATCGATGCCTCTTTATAGTGGTTCAAGTAGAATATTTTAAGTCTGTCGACAGGAATATAAAATGGGTCAAGCTTAAAGTTCAAGGTCATGTGCTATATACCACTGCCCAGCAATTAGCCACAGAGCACATTTAGAAGTTAAGTCAATTTTCAGTCACGGAAATAAGGCTGAGTTCTGGCATCTTCGCTGCCTTCGAGTCTAAACATGAACAGAAAAATGAGCTCGCGTAAATAAAGCCTAGCCTCAGATTTTTTCTCAAATTTGGGATTTTTAAATGTCCTTCTGGAAGATTAAAAGATTTTCTCGGCCACAAATACCTTGCGAGTTTAATTCTAGCCCGAAGCACGTAACGATGGCCAGCCAAAAAAATAAATTGGGGACTGCAGCATTGCCTCCTGGCCCACCATCCCGCTTCGGCCACTGGAGAAGTCTCTAAAAACTGTGACCTCTCAGAAAATTTAACTACTTCTATTGCGAATCTATTCTCCAATCTGACCACATTAGCAGGAGGAACTCCAAAGCAGTAAAAAACTCCAGAAAGTTCTCGGTTGAGTGCCTACTAATGAACAAAGGTTAACTTTATCTAAAAGGTCAAATGCCTGGTGGCTAAGGTTGTGACCTTAACAACTTAAATTGTGACCTTGCCACGTGCCTAGTATATTGTAGATTCTGATACAGATCATCTGGTAAAGGACCGGTCATAAATTAGCTTTACTGTTCGACTCCCACAAAGAGAACGGTTTGCCACAATGGTTTCCAACTTGTCATTTGATACAAGAGCAGAATAAGTGAAAACTAAAAAGCAAACCTAAGTTCAGCGTATGAAAATGCCGCCTGCTTTTAGTTAAGCAGATTAGAAACTGCAAACTGAGAGCAATACTCTAGATTTCAATACATTTTTTGGTCAACCTCTAATTCACAAAGCACCGATCTTCCTTTCCTTTTTTTTTTTTTAAATGTCTTTTTTTTTATCCTTTTAATGAAAATGACATGTAGTTCGCCTATTTGCATATTTTTGTTTTCTCTTTCTAGCCAGTTCTTAAAGAGAATAATTGATTTCAGTAGCTTTGTAAGAAGCACTATTTAAATCTGTGCACATGTGTTCCCTTACAGATGATAGTGCCTACTGAAGGAAAAGCGTGGATTCAAAGCAATAATTATCCTACATGTTTAGAAGGAAAGGGACATCTTGCTGCCGAAGTCATCTCGAATAAGGGCATCTTGGAACAGAATACTCCCCCCAAGAAAAGAAGACGAAAAGTGGGGGGAAAAAGAAACCCACAAGAAAAAGAGAAGCGAGCACTATGGGTGAAAAGGTCACAATGGTTTTGGCACGTATCTTCAAGCACGTTTCGGAGTCTGTGCCTCCTGCCAATACTGGCAACTTCTCAAAACTTTTAAGGAGGTAAAAACATTGTTTAGTGTTTACAAATCTTCTGTACTATAGCAGATGCTTGTCAAATCCGCTATATGTAAGTTGACCAGCCTACCTAATATTTGCGCTGGCGACTTCCTCCTTATAAATACGCGGTCCATACATTTGGGGAGCGAGGTCTGATGGAGTTGGAGACAAAGGACCCTTAATATTTTTTTCTTTTGTAATTTTCCTGTTGCGCACCCGGCACAAGCTGCCATTACTGCGGGTCTGCGGGAACCAATGGCTGTCAACTTGGCCAATGTTCAGGTGTAACAAAGACTGCTGGGATACATCGGAGGGGGGAAAAGAACGGGAAAAAAGGGGGGAAGAAAAAGAGGTAGCTCTACGCAAGGCTTTCGGTACACCTCTGTGAAGCCATACAGACAGCGGCCACACTGCGCCACCTCCCAAAAATCATCTTGTCCCCCTCCCCACTGAGGTTTAGCAGGAATATGCCAGCACACGCGCACGCTCCTGCATTGAGAGCACAATGCAATGCGTGCAATCAGCAAACAACGGCCGAAAACACAGCGCGGTGCGTGGCTGCTCACACAAATCCCCAAATCTAACCCCAAAAAACCGCGCCGAGGCCTCGCGCCGAGTTTCCGCGGCAAACACCGAGTCCGAAGGACAATCGGCGCGATCGCTGCCTGTTGGTGGTGAAGGCAGGAATAAATAAGAGCTTGCTATCAAGGCTACTGTTTGCCATCGGTGTGCTGATAAGATGGTATATCCCGAATAGCAATATTGAACTTTTATAACGTCTATTGCCTGACTGTTATAACAGGGAGAGATCCCTTGAAGCTCCCCGAAATACTCCCACCTCTGGGTTTGGTCCTTTTCTCCCCATCCTACATTTCTGTGACCCTACATGCAAGCTAAGCCAAGACCATTGGTTTCTATCAACGATTTGTGCGCTCCATAAAGGGCCTGGGAAATGCAATATGGATCAGTATTTACCAGCACTATGCTATATAGAAATCTAAATAATAAAAATCTGTGTGGTGTAGATCAGTAAATAGACATTTATAGCTTCTATTTGGATATCAAAGCATTTTAGATTTATCAGCCCACTTTGACATGCGGAGGAGGAAACTGAGGCAGACAAAAGGGATGTGAGTCCATGGTCCCCTCGGGGTTGGTGATGGAACAGGAGGTGACCTGAAATGCCCCAGCCCCAAGCTCTGTTCAGTTAGCCATTTATCCATAATGCTTGCTTCACGGTGACCATAATAAAGCGCAGAGTAAATAAATAATTTTCCTCAATATTTGCCTACTTCCCTTTCACCATAAACGTGCACTATGATTTATCACCTCACACTGAAGTGTAAAGTAAATGTTACAGCTTATCTGTAGGAAATACCATGAGGATACTCAAAAGTTATTTCCGAACGGGGATCATATCTGTAAAATCCCAGCGGCGACATTGCCTAACACAACAACCATGGCAGAGACTCAGTGCAGAAAAACTTTGGGGAAGCCAAAACTTTCTGCAAGACCCTCTGAAATAAGTTGGCATGGGGAATGCAGGCTCCCTGGGCTGTAATTTGCTTGGTTTTCTTACCAATAAATATTTATACAGAAGTGGTTTCTACTACTATGATTCCTCTCCCCTTGCTCCTCTGTATTTCCAGCCCGTCCAGCCCCTCAGCTCGCAAGTCAGGATATGCTCATCCCATACATGAAACTCAGGGCCTCGCACTTCACACGCACACATTTTTCTGCACTACAATCACTCAGGAGAACTACAATAGTGTATTATTTTATCCAGTCAACATACTACACATCCTCTGAGCACACCGAGTCACGCCGCAGGCAGAGCGTACTTTGTGTTGGAGTCTGGGATCCCAAGATTTTCATCACACGTTAAAACATCTCAGCCCCTCCTCATTAGAATAATATTGTCAAATTTGGAATTTTTTTCAAGACCTGTTTAGCTCTTAGGTGTATAAATGGTGGTATTTTAGAGGGGGTTAGATGTCTCTTTTCCCCTTAGGATTACTCAGAGGTTTGTTTCATTTGTTTCACCCCCACTCAGACCTGATGACTAGGTTTGCTATCAAGGGACTGTCTTCTTCTTTCCCTCCAAACCTGCAGGATTTATGTTCCCCATCTCATCCCTGTGGGGTGAGGATACCTGGTACTCCTGACCCACAGGCCTCAGGCCTCTCTAGCCCTCCTGGACAATTCTGTGCATAACATATGCCAACTTTATTTAAAAAAAAAAAAAATTAAATTAAAATCTATCTGGTTTTCCCCAAAATTAGTATAAAGGAAGCCGCATCCGGCTGTGAGCCCTCCTAGGACAACATTTAGGATAACACCTGTGAAGGCTGCCCGAAATGCTATTAACTGCGGAAAACAAGAGCCACTTTTATGTGGCTGCACCTTAAAAATCCCATGAAAAAAAATAAAATAAAAGTGAGAGGGAGAGTTTTGGCACCCTCCTCACCACCCCAGGAGAGCAACAACCGGCATCCCCAGCTCCCTCCCCAGCTCATGCAGCCGCCACTGGGGCACGGCACCCGGCACGGAGATAACCGAAAAGTTTGAGAAGGTGGTAGAGAAAGGCACTTACCTGCTGCGTGCACAAAGTATGCCAAATATAAATCGAGTTCCTTAACAGAAACTCCTATATGGTGGGGCTGTACGCACAGCCCGGGGTTAGAGCACTGTGGGGACTTTACAAGGCGCTCGCCATCAGTACTTTCGAGCGGAATACCTTTAAATAAAATCACCATAACAAGGTCCAACCTCCAGACCTTATCTGCCTGGCGAAGGCAGTCAATTCTTCTCATCTTGCCCTTCTGGTCTGGATTGGAAAGAACGCAACACGGAGGCTTTTTTCCTGTGACTGTGAGAACAAAATCCTCCCGAAATTCAGGCCTGATATCTTTCCGGAGCTTTGCCAGAAGTCTGGATGCCCATTTTTGCTTTACCTCAGGTTTTTCACTTAGCAGTTCGTCCTTCACGGCTCTCTCTTCCTCTTTTGACATGCGTTTTTCATGTTTTTTGAAGTATTTTCTTTTTCGGGCTTGCAGGTTGAACCACGTGTACGCAAACGCTCGGACGTGAGGCAGAAGTGCTTCGATGAAGGGATGAAATTCATCCTGAAAAAAGTTACAGAGAAGGGTTGATGTCACCGAAACCATCAACAAAGAACCTTCAAAAACGGGGGTTTGCGGGATGGTGGGAATTAGGAGGGTGATAAATTTTAAGGGCTGTGGGAACCCTCGCTGACGGACCCCAAACCCGCCACCACCGCATCCCCGCTTCCCTTTCGCGCCGACCCAAAACCTCCACTCCCGCCCCCCAAAAACAGAGTCCAACTTCAATCAAGCACCCAGATGGAGATGGTGCAATGCTGGCGCCCTTTCCCCAGTCCTCAAATCTTTCTTTTTAAAAAGAAAAAAAAAAAAAAAAAAGGGCAGAATGAGTTAAAAGCCAAAAAAATTTCTTTTCAAGTCCACTTGCGGAGCGCGTATCTCCCTTTGCTCTCTCCCTGACCCCGCTGCTTGCGGTGTAGCCAGCATTTGCCCGCCAATTTGGCAAATCCTAAACATTTGGATGCCAATCAATGTTTGTATGGGGAAGTCTAAAGTATAGTAAAACTTTCCCTAAGATATATTTGGAAATAGCAGCCGGCAGAATAGTAAAATGCCACTATAGCTGTATATACAATTACAATGAAGGGTGGTTTTCACTCTGGTTCCTAAACAGTGAAGAGAGCGAGAAGTACTGCAGTCGATTTATCCTGCGAGCGCAATCATAACTAACACTAAAATCCTAGAAAAAGCAAGCCTTGAAATTTATCTTTTTTTTAAAATATCTTTGTTTATATTTAGTAAAAAAGAAAAAATTAAAACTTGCTATCTGGGCATATCATGAAAAGTTAAACTCTGAGCCTCCTCATAAAGTAAAAAAACCCCCCAAAAAACAAAAAAATAAACCCCAGGAAAAATTGAAAAACACGGTAACAGAAAACTGTATCACAACTTGCGCAAATAAGTGAAAAATTATTAATTGCGTCAGGTTTTCAGATATTTAAAAAGAAATATCCTACTCGGAAAGTTAGTTTGGCCATCCAGAGACACTGCTTGCTTTGTGTAACGAGGAGTTAAAGATCACCCCTCTCCTTTGGCACAAAAATAATCACAATTAAAATTATGCTGACACTAAAAAAAAGCGAGAAAGACCCCCTGATTTTTTAAAAAATAATTATATATAGATATATATATTTTCCTTGCTAAGTATTATATAAATCAGCCAAAGAGATCAAAACATATTATAATATACTGGGGCCATGCTTCTTGTTTTTTCCCTGAATAAATGAATGACCCAACTCCAGGCTGCACATAAAAACATATCCAGCCTGTGGGGCCTGATCCAGCGCTGCGTGCTGGAGACGTCCCTGCTTCCAGTTCCTCCTTTTCTCAGGATTGGGCCCTCCAGGAGGGAAAAATAAAGTAATTTGTGCAACGTTTTCCCCAGCATGGGAAAAGCCACCCGCTGCCTACTCCTGTGCAAGGAAACATTGGGGATTTTTCAGATTAACAAACTAACTTTTTTTTTTTTAATTATCCCATGGAGTACATTTTCTACCCAAATCATTGCGGGTCGTGCAAATATGGTTATTAAACAGACATCTTACTTCCTTTCAACACTTTATTTTAATTTGCATTGTTCTTCTCAGAAATTATGAAAAATTGAGAAATTAATAGTAGAAATAGCTATCAGCAAAATCCTGTCATAATTCAAGACCTTTTACTGACTCCCCAAAAGCTTTCATTGCACTTATTCTGAGCGGCCTCAGAATTGTAGATACTTAAATCTATAGGTAGCACCTTTGCATTTATTTTTATTTTAAACATAGATTGTAAAAAACTTTCTTAACAGCACAATATATTTTATTAGAGCAGAGCGGCAGCAATTGAAGTATTATGAATGATTATTAAAATAAAAGCAGGTAAAATATAATAAATCACTCCAGTGATTGTCACATTCCTCTTTTTTTTCCCCTCCTCTATGGGAAAATATGATAGTTTCAAATTTCAATAAAGTTTAAAAAAAAAAAAAAGAAAAGATTGCTGCGAGTTTGCAGTCGGCAGATTCAAAAAGTGAGAGGAGGCACAATCCCAGCACATGGAGCTGCTCTCACCCACCAGAAACAGCTCTCACGGGGGGGGAGGCGGGGGGGGAAAAGAAGAAAAATATAAAAACTACAGGTCTCTACAAGCTATTAAAAATAATAAACCTTCCCTCCTGATCCCTTCTGTCCTTCCCTTTCCCCACTCAGGGAGAGTCAAGGAAAAAAGGCCTTTTGTCAAGTGGAAGTTTATCTGCGAAGGTACACAGAGCAGAGAGGCTCGACAGCCCAAAGCGAGCCAGGGCAGTGCTTCCAGCCTTCCCACTTTCCAAACACGTCTTGGTACATCCTGATATATTTTAACTTTTCTGCTTTAAGCAGCGCTTTGTCCTGCCTGATCTCATGTGCTCGGGACTTTTTTGGCTCGGCGCTGGATAACATCCAAGAGAGAGTTGCTTTAACCTGCACTAAAGCTGATTTCTACAATGTGAACCTGAAAGGGGAGGTAAAAACAACACCCAAAAAAAAAAAAATAAAACCATTTAAAAAAAAACACTAAACCACTTTAAAGGGAGGGGGTAAAAAAACCAAGATGCTTTTTGGTGCAAAGTCAGGGTCTGTGGCTGAAGTAAACGAGAAGCACCGCTGCTCGGGCACGAGGTGTGCACGTCCCTATTACACTCTAATGTTTCTTTTCAAAATGGTATATGAGGAGAAAAGGTTAACGACTCATAAACAGACCAACTTTCAAAGTGTCTTGGTAAACACACTGCTCCGGAAAATCGCACCGCTTCAATCTCGGCGCTGAGGTATTAGCAAAGTCCAAGTGGAAATAAAAGCAGCCAGGACTGATCAAACAGAATTGGGCTGGACGTGGAGACAGAGGGGGGGAGCAGCTTCTGCACAACGCAATTTTTTATTTCAGTGGTGCTACAGTCCCCCCAAAAAACCCAGAAAGTTTTGGAGATGTGTCAGAGCAAGTGTGCTAACAGATGTGCAACTTGTCTGCAGCCTTGCTGCAAAATAGCAGGATTTTAAAGAACTGGTAGAAAAGGCAATGATCTTTCCCTTTCCACAAGTTAGCTTGAAGGGAAACTTTGAAAGTATTTGATAAAGCCGTTTGCTTTCCCCCCCTCAGTGTTGGATGGGTTACCTAAAAATAAAAGACAACAGAAAGCTGGCAAAGCAATAATAAAAAGTTGGGGTTTTCTTTATTGCACTCCTCTCCGAAGTTTGAGGATACAGCTCTTCCGAGAGCTGCCTGTTTCTAAGCAGCACCTAAAATTTGGGCTGCACAGTTCTGTACTGTTTATCCCAAAATTCTCCTCTGCTCTTCAAAAAGGTGTAAAAAAACCAACAAAACAAAAACCCTACCACAAAAGAACCCCAACCTCAACCCAAAGGCGCCTTCGATAATGTAATCCTGCAAATGAGGCTTTGAAACAATGTATTTCTGCAGATCTTTTTGAAATTAAGCCAGCTACAGCGACCCTTGCTAATATTTTTACAATCCATTTGCTTGTAAATCTATGAGGAGACGTGCATATGTTCCCCAACTATTTCCTAGCTCCTCAGCAGATATGTAAATGGAACGATGTTTGGATTTTTCCTGACAGATGACACAAAATGCTTGTGCCATTTTGGTTCCAAGGCTTGGATAAATATGCTCAGAACCAGGATTTCTGTTTGTTTTCCTTTTCTAACCCACTTTCAAGAGCTTCCCTTTAAATCTGAACCAAAACTTGACCAAAAAAAAAAAAAAAAAAAAAAAGGAAAAAGAAAAAAAAATCCTTCCCAAAACTTGTATCAATAAAAGCTCTTGAAACGATAAAATAGGAAATTACTTGCAATTACGCAGGGCTCACACCCTTTTTCTATCGAAAAATGACAGAATCACCTAATTGATCCTTCGGAGGGAAGAGTTTGTCAGGAGGCCTCTAATCCTCCTATTACTTTTCCAAACGTGCAGCAAGAATGCCAGATTTTCCTAACACAGTCATAGCACATGCCTGGCTTTCTGCTTTTCTTTTGATAAATTAAAAAAAAAAAAAAAAAAAAAAAAAAAAAAAACTGCTAGCTGCATCAGGCTTTAAAGATCCAAAACAAGGTAGCAACCAGCCCATGGATTTATTTTCTCTCCTTAACGTGCGACTGGGCCTACTGAGCCCCAGGAGCCCCACGTGGAGATGCCAAGAGCGTCGGCG